TTTTTTTTTTTTTTTTTTTTTTTAAAGGCAGAGTGTTGCCGTGTCACCCAGGCTGGAGTGTAGTGGTGTGGTCTCGGCTCACTGCAACCTCCGCCTCCCAGATTCAAGCTAGTATCATGTCTCAGCCTCTCAAATAGCTGGGATTACAGGCATGTGCCACCATGCCCAGCTAATTTGTTTTTGTATTTTCAGTAGAGATGGTGTTTCGCCATGTTGGTCAGGCTGGTCTTGAACTCCTGACCTTAAGTGATCCACCTGCCTTGGCCTTCCAAAGTGCTGGAATTACAGGGGTGAGCCACCATGCCCAGCTAGGCTTCTGCTCTTGATACAGTTTTTAAAACAGCTCAGTGACCTCCAGGCTCTTCAACAGAAGCATCTTAAATTCCTTTTGGCCACGTAGTGATGAACAAACCTGGCATCCTTTCGAAACAAAACCTTACATGGGGCCGACACTGACCGCCTGCTCAGTGCTCATGTCACCTGCTTAGGTCATGGCCAACACACAGGTTGTCCACCAGGCTCCCCAAGGCCACAAGCTTCACTGCCCCTACCTGCAGGCCCAGAGCAGCTCCACCTCTCACTACCTGATTACCACAGAGTCTGCCTCAGAAAACACCGAGGAAACGGTGCCTGGCTCCCTCCACTTCTCACCTCACACTTCCCAGTGCACACAGGAGCCCCAGAGACAATGAGAGGGCAGAAACTGCCTCATTTAACAGTTTCGATCTCAGATGATGAACAGAAATGAGGAGCCTCTCACTGTTACCTAGCAAAACTACAAGCAGGTAAGTGTTCTTATTGAGTTAAACAGGAAACCTAAGAAATTCCTGGCTGAGATTGGTGGCTCACACCTATAATCCCTGCACTTTGGGAGGCCAAGGCAGGAGGATTACTTGAGGCCAGGAGAATAAGACCAGCCTGGGCAACATGGTAAAACCCTGTCTCTCTCCCTCTCCCTCCCTCCCTCTCTCTCTCTCTCTCTCTCTCTCTCTCTCTCTCAATAAATAAATAAATAAATAAATAAATAAAATTGCCTATAAAAGAAGAAGATTCCTGAAAAGGAGGAAACAAAACTTCCTGACGAACTTTGTTTCCAAAGTAGCAGCAGGTTCATGTGCCCCAGGAGGATGAATAAGTGGGTCATGATGTTTGAGGATGGGGGAGATGGTGACCTGAGGATGAGGGAAGCTCATGACTAAGAATGGGTGAGATCATGACCCGAGATCAGTGGAGAACACTCATTGCCTGAGTGAGCATCAGCTCCTCCGTGATGTTTGGTCTCTTTAAATATTCACAGCTGTTTGACACTGCTAATAAGGAGCCCAGTGCAGTAAGGAGGGGCTGGGGGATCTTATTTCTATCTTCAAGGCTGCTCATGTGTCACAGACCAGCTGGAGCCTCACCCAGGTTCCCACAGACCTTCCCAAAACAGCCACACCCTCTCGGGCATTTTCCTGAACAACCTCTTTTGTTCTTAACCACGCTGAGTTTTTAAAATTTCTTAATACCCTTATTATTAATTTCCACAGATTTTCTAGACTTAACTTTTGCTCATTCAGTCCTCTCTGGTTTTCTGCTCTGAGAAACAAGTGATTCATCTTGCCCCTCCTAATTCCTGGGAGTCCCAGCTGCCTGGCCCTGGAAACCCATCCACCAATGCCGGGATCACATCTGTGATCATGGTGTAGCCACGATTAATCATGCACAAAACACTCACCAATGCTGCCTTGAAGGCTCTAGACTTTCAGGACACAGGAGACTCAGGAGGTCATGTATTGCTTAAATATTCATCCACTAAGTAGGTACCACAATGACAAATAATCATTGCGCCATCAATTTTTTTTTTTTTTTTTTTTTTTTTGAGAAAAAGTTTTGCTCTGTCACCCAGGCTGGGGGGCAGGGGGGAGATCTCAGCTCACTGCACCCTCAGCCTCCTGGGTTCAAGCAATTCTGCTTCAGCCTCCTGAGTAGTTGGGATTATAGTCACATGCCACCATGCCCGACTGATTTTTTTTTTTTTGTATTTTTAATAGAGACAAGGTTTCATCATGTTGCTCAGGCTGGTTTTGAACTCCTGACCCTCATGATCCGTCTGCCTTGGCCTCCCAAAGTGCTGGGATTATAGGCATGAGCCATGGCGCCCAGCCTGTGCCATCAATTTATTGGCATGTCACTTGCCTTGGAGATGAGCTCGTCATGATTGGCCAGGTGTGCTCTGCAGTGGATGCAGCTGTACGTTCGGTGACAGTTCGGCAGATACGCTTGGAAAGTTTTGGACTTTGTCATCTTCACCATCTCTCCCAGGTGCTCCTCACTCAGCTCAGGGCTGGTTCTGGAAGAACCACGGCTCTGCTGGCCTCTCTGACAAAAGAAACACTGGAAAATGCACGCAAGAGCCGTTGTTGTCCAGGAGGGCGTGTGGCACTGTCCACACAGCTGGGACAAGAGAAAAATGGAACCTGCCAACCAATCAGACAAAGCGGTGGGTTACAGAACGCATGTGTGAAGGAAGTACCTGTGGGAAGAACATGCAGGGGATGGCAGGACTAGAAATTAAAGATCTTTTCCTTTATTCCTTTTTTTTGTAAACAGTCTCGCTCTGTCACCAGGCTGGAGTGCAGTGACATGATCTCAGCTCACTGCAACCTCTGCCTCCCAGGTTCAAGTGATTCTCCTGCCTCAGCCTCCTGAGTAGCTGGGATTACAGGCATGTGCCTTCATGCCCAGCTAATTTTTGTATTTTTAGTAGATATGGGGTTTCACCATGTTGGCCAGGATGATCTTTTTTTTTTTTTTTAATTTAATTTTTTTCATGCTTGTGCCATCTCTACCGAGGTGATGGTCTTGATCTCTTGACCTCCTGATCTGCCCGCCTCAGCCTCCCAAAGTGCTGGGATTACAGTCATGAGCCACCGCATCTGGCTTTTTTTTTTTTTTTTTTGAGATAGAGTCTCATTCTGTTGCCCAGGCTGGAGTGCAGTGGCATGATCTCAGCTCACTGCAACCTCCACCTCCCAGGTTCAAGTGATTCTCCTGCCTTAGCCTCCTGAGTAGCTGGGAATATGGGCACATGCCACCATGCCTGGCTAATTTTTTACTTTTTAGTAGAGACGGGGTTTTACCATGTTAGCCAGGCTGGTCTCGAACTCCTGACCTCAGGGGATCCACTCGTCTCGGCCTCCCAAAGTGCTGGCATTACAAGTGCCACTGTGCCCAGACAAGATCTAACTCTTTAGTACCAGTTGTAGACAAAATGAACACTGACCCCATGCCACTGCTTAACCACTCTACATTCAGTTGGAAGTGGAAAAGTGAACAACTTTTATATGCAAATAATTTAAGAAAAACATTGGTTCAAATTCTTTTTTTTGAGACGGAGTTTCACTCTTTTTACCCAGGCTGGAGTGCCATGGCGCGATCTCAGCTCACCGCAACCTCCATCTCCTGGGTTCAGGCAATTCTCCTGCCTCAACCTCCTGAGTAGCTGGGATTACAGGCACGCGCCACCATGCCCAGCTAATGTTTTGTATTTTTAGTAGAGATGGGGTTTCACCATGTTGACCAGGATGGTCTCGATCTCTTGACCTCGTAATCCACCCGCCTCGGCCTCCCAAAGTGCTGGGATTACAGGCTTGAGCCACCGCGCCCGGCTGGTTCAAATTCTTACACCAGGTTTGGCTTCGGGAAACTTGAAAGAAGCGGAAACAAGACTCCTGTTGAGTGGGTCCAGTGGCAGGGCTGGATGCACCCCGTCCCAAATCCTGGAATTCACCACGTGGGGCACCAGGACATTGAGGAATATGAGTGATGGATCCAGTATTATTTAATCTTTAAGAAATTTCAGTCCTGAAATAAATGGTCAAATGATCTTCAACAAGGGTGTCAAGACTATTCAATGGGGAGAGGACAGTCTTTCAACAAATGGTGCCACAACTGGATACCCACCTGCAAAAATATAAAGTTAGACCTTTATCTGACACCGTATACAAATCAACTCAAAATAAAGGGCCTAAATGTGAGAGTTAAGAGTATAAAACTCTTAGAAGGAAACAGGAAAAGCTTCATGACACTGGGTTTGGCAATGATCTCTTGGATATGATACCAAAAGCATGGGCAGCCAAAGAAAAACAGACAAATCAGACTTTATGAAAATGAAAAACCTGTGGCTTAGTGCTGTGGCCCACGCCTGTGGTCCCAGCACTTTGGGAGGCTGAGGTGGGCGGATCACTTGAATCCAGGAGCTCAAAACCAGCCTGGGCAATGAAGCAATACCACATCTCAACTAAAAATACAAAAAACTAGCCGGGTGTGGTGGCTGTGCCTGTGGTCCCAGCTACTCGGGAGGCTGAGGTGGGAGGATGGCTTGAGGCTGGGAAGTTGAGGCTGCAGTGAGCGAAGATCGTCCACTGCACTCCAGTCTGAGCATCAGTGAAACCCTGGCTCTAAATAAAGAAATAAATAAATCTTTTGTGCTTCAAAGGATACTATCAACAGAGGCAACCCAGAGAATGAGGGAAAAAGTATTTTTGAATCATATACCTGATAAGATGTTAATATTTAGAATACATATATTCTATATTCTACCTATATATATTCTATATATATCTATATTCTCTATATATTCTAGTTAAACCCCGTCTCTACTAAAACTACAAAAAATGAGCTGGGCATGGTGGCGCGTGCCTGTAATCCCAGCTACTCAGGAGGCTGAGGCAGAAGAATTGCCTGAACCCAGGAGGCGGAGGCTGCGGTGAGCCGGGATCGCGCCATTGCACTCCAGCCTGGGTAACCAGAGCAAAACTCCGTCTCAAAAAAAAAAAAAAAAAAAAGCCTCCTACAACTAGCAAAAAAAAAAATTTTTTTAAACAATCTGGTTAAAAAATGGACAAAGGGCTAGGCATGGTGGCTCATTGCCTGTAATCCCAGCACTTTGGGAGGCTGAGACAGGTGGACCACCTGAGGTCAGCAGTTCGAGACCAGCCTGGTCAACATGGTGAAACCCCATCTCTACTAAAAATACAAAAATTAGCTGGGAGTGGTGGCAGAAGCCTGTAATCCCAGCAACTCAGGAGGCTGAGGCAGAAGAATTGCTCGAACCCAGGAGGCAGAGGTTGCAGTGAGCCGAGATCACACACCACTGCGCTCCAGCGTGGATGACAGAGTGAGACTCCATCTCAAAAATAATAAAAATAAAGGAAATGGACAAAGGACCTATATATCTATATTGTATATATATTCTAGTTAATAACATATGTTTTAAAAAAAAAAAACTCCAACTCAGCAAAAAAAAACCCCACAATCTGATTAAAAAATGGACAAAGAACCTATAAATCTACATTCTATATAGTTATTAGAATGTATTTAAGAAACTCCTACAACTCAACAAAAAAGCCCCAAAACAATCTGATTAAAAATGGACAAGGACTTATATCAACACTTCTCCGAAGAACATGTATAAATGGCCAACAAGCACGTGAAAAGATCCTCATCACTGATCCTGAGGGAGGCAGACAAGGACCACACTGAGACACCACCGCGCATCCTCTAGGCAAGCTACTATCCACACACACACACACACACACACAGAGAGAGAGAGAGAGAGAGAGAGGGAGAAAATAAGCATTGGTGAGGATGGAGAGGAACTGGAACCTCATGCATTGCGGGTAAAAATGTAAAATGTTGGAGGCACTATGGGAAACAGTACGGTAATTCCTCAAAATATGAAACATAGAATTACCATGGGCTCCAGCAATTCCACTGCTGGGTGTAAATCCACAAGAACTGAAAACCGGTCTCAAAGCCGTGTCTGCACACCCATGCTCATAGCAGCACTATTCACAACAGCCACGAGGTGGAAGCAACTGAGTGTCCTTCCACAGACCAGCATTCTCATCATCAAAATGTGGCGTCTGCAAACAGTGGAATGTTATCCGGCCTTTAAAAGGAAGAGACCCTGATGGAGGAACCCTGAGGACACTATGCTCAATGAAATAAGCCAGTCACAAAGGACGAATTTTGTATGAGGTACTTAGAGCAGTGAGATTCAGCGACAGAAAGAGCTGCCAGGGGCAGGGGGAGTTACCGCTTAATGGGTGCAGCGTTTCGGTTTTTTAAGATGAAGAGTCCTGGAGGTTGGTGGTGATGGCTGCACAAAAATGTGAATATATTTAATGTCACTGAATTGTATACTTAGAAATGGTTAGGACAGTAAGAGTTATATGTATTTACCACAATTATTTTAAAGAATATGTCATTTTTACATCTCTAAGGTCTCATTAACAAAAGGAGGTAAGTCCATGACGGCCGCTGCCATCATTGGCCCCAGGGGCACGTGCCAAGTTTTCCTGGTGGCACCACCCCAGGTTGGCCTGTGACAGGTGGCCTGCAGGAGAGTCAGGCACATGAGGAGTTTCTTTCAGGCCAAACAGAAGAGCAAGAGTTTCCCCAAGTTCAAGAGCACGGGGCTGGGAAGAGCCAAGCGCTAGCAGTTCCTCGCACCAGCTCCTCCTGGGAGGTACACCCCCCTACCCCTCAACCCCATGCGACCTCTGCTTGAGCAGCAGCCTGTCCCGTGCCCTTCCCTGGGATTACACCCAGCACAGCATCCTTCTGGGTCCAGCACAGCCTCGCCAGGCCCCCCACCTGCACAGGCACAGCTGCATTAGAAGGTCACTTTCTCACACTGGGCTGAAGGTGCGCATGGGCAGAATGCCGCGTTTGTAATCACGTGAACGGAAGATACAAACGCCCTGCAGCTGCCACCCAGGATGGAACTGGGACCGGGTCACCATGGGGCTGCGGTGCCCTTCCTTGGTGCCCTGGCCTGAGACACTGCCTAGTTCAGACGTGGTGTTTCTTGGTCTTTCCTTGTCCTGATGGCTGTGCCCATGTCTGCGGCCCTGAGCCACACTGCTGCATATTCTGAGTTTAGAACTTTACACCAATGATGTTGTGAGACTTCTCTGCTGACGTGCAGCCAAGTCTGTCTCTGTCCCCATGTGCGGCTGGGCTTCCTTCACCTGGTGTCCTGTCAGGTACACCGCATGGAGCCACAGATGGGGTGTGGTTGTGTATCGGCTCCTGAACTGGCTACTAAATGGTGCTGCTACCACTGTCGCCTCTCCCAAGCCGCACAGGCAGGCATTTCATTGGAACAATCCCAGGAGCAGATGCCTGTGCACGCAGCAGCGCCCTCCCAGGTGCTGGTGACAAGGCAAACATGAGTCTCTGCTGACCTTTATCCCACCAACTTGATATGATCAAATTTTTTTTTTTTTTTTTTTTTTTGAGACGGAGTTTCGCTCTTGTTACCCAGGCTGGAGTGCAATGGCGCGATCTCGGCTCACCGCCACCTCCGCCTCCTGGGTTCAGGCAATTCTTCTGCCTCAGCCTCCTGAGCAGCTGGGATTACAGGCACGCGCCACCATGCCCAGCTAATTTTTTGTATTTTTAATTGAGA